AGGAAGATCTGTGAAGTGTTGTGGACAAAGACCGGGATCTCCCTCGGCAGCGACCACTACGTGCTCGAGATGCTGGTGCAGGTCGAGGGAATCTCGGCCCCCGCAAAACGCAAAGTCCTGGATATGGATTGCTTTTCGCCGCAACAGTATGCGTCGGCCCCGACTACGATCAAAGACCTCCGCGGTTGGACCGACAACCTTTCCAGCGTGGAGTTGGCTGCCGTCGAGAGCGACGCCACCTCGACCTCGGGGGCCAGCGACTCCAAACTCTGGCTCATGTGGCAAGCTCACCGCAGTTTTCAGGCCAGATGGAAAGCACAGGCGGGCAGAAACGAAAAGCTCCACAGACGCATTGCTTGGCTTGAAAGAGACATCAAGATTTATGCGGACCAGCTACATCGACAGCAATGGGGACAGCTGTGCGACGGACTCAACGGCAGCCTCCATCGCTAGGACATTTGATGGATCCCACGACCACCAAGACCGCGTAGGGGACCGACCTCTCCGAGGCCCTTCGCTCACACGAGGACAGTACGGCGGACCTCATGGAGGAATTCCGTAACACCTACCTTCCCGTTTCCACAGGGCATGAAGAGGCCTTGCTCTCGTACACCGAGTCGCCCAACCCCGAGCTCGACGATGACATGATCGAGGCCGAGGTTCGGAGCGCCATGGAACAACTGCGCGCGAAATCGACGCCGGGCTCCGACAGGATTGCGAACAAGAAGTTCCGGAATTTAGACGACCGTTCGGTCACTGCCCTAACGGCCCTCTTCAGCGAGGTGTGGCGCTCGGGATCAGTGCTTCCTGCGTGGAAGCACGCCGTCGTCGCTTTTATTACGAAGCCCGGAAAGAGCTCTCACTCCCCAATCTCAGGCCGATTTCCCTTACATTTAGCCTGGGCAAGTTGCTCGAGCACGCCACACTCAACAGACTTCAATACTACCTGGAAGACCGCGGCATTCTACCGCAAACCTCGTTCGGTTTCCTAGCGCAGCTCTCTACCCAGGACGTGTTCCTGCAACTCTCACGAGACATCGTCGAGAAGAAGAGGGAAGTGCAGGCCTTGCTGGCCCTCGACATCCAGAAAGCGTTTGGCAACGTGAAGCACGAAGCCATTCCTGCAACTCTCACGTCGTGGGATCCAAGAAATCCAGCCGGATTTCTCGCCTGTAACTCGGGCTCTGCACCTTTGCGTGCGTGAAGTCCTTTCTCACGGGACGCACGGAAGAAATTCCGCTGGGAGAGGACGTCTCGCCGACCTTTCGGGCCTGCGTGGGACGAGGCACGCCCCAAGGGGCAGTGCTCTCGTCCCTCCTGTTCAACTTCGCAATGATGGACCTGCCAGAAAAGCTGGCCGTTATCTCCGGCCTACGCCATTCGCTCTACTCAGAGGACGTTACTCTTTTGACTGTAGGTCACATATTACAAGTGCAAAGCGCGCTCCAGACGGCCGCTGATGTTGTAGTGGACCATGCCAGATCCGTCGGCCTCGAGTGCTCCCACGCCAAGTCGGAACTTTTTGTGAAGAGAGGCTAACACGAGCTCCTTTTCCAGGACGAAGTTCAAGTCCTGGTCAAAGGTAATTGCATATCTGAAAGCGACTTGGTCAGAGTTCTCGGCATGCACCTCGGAAAGAATTTGTCAAACACAGACGCCATTCCTCGAATGGGCAAGACGGCCAAGAGCACACCGCGTCACATTAGACGTATCGCCAACAAGTGAGGCGGGGTCAAGGAGGGCGACGTTTGTCGCATATTCACGCGTTCGTCGTCAGCCGTGTCCTCTACACGATACGCTACATGTGACTCACGATCACCGACAAGAAGAAGCTCGATTCCATTATAAGACAAATGTACAAGTTGGCCCTCGGACTCCCAGTGGCAACGTCTCCGGACCGCCTCATGCAACTCGGAATACACAACACGGTGTCCGAACTCCTCGAGGCACACCGGCGCTCTTAAGTCATACGTCTGTCCAAAACGCCCACCGAGCGCGCCGTCCTGGACAGGCTGGGGATTGAGCCGGAACCTTTCCAAGAGCCCTGGTCGACGTTCCGAAGACGATTCGGAAAATGTTGGAAGCCCGCCCGGTACCGCGGAATGTGCATTTTCTACATCACGAGGAGCGGAGAATGGCGAGAGCTCAGCAAGCAGCATCGTAACAACTCCCGCGTCCTTCACGTGGATGCCGCACCATACCCGGGTATCGCATTTTCTAACGCCTGTTTTTCGATCGCCGTTGAGAAACAGCGACGACTTCACGGTCGCCCAGGCCTCCGTGACAACCAAAGCCACTGCAGTGGCGGAAGAGGCGGCCGTTGCACTGGTCCTAGTACACGCGGGCCCCCTAAAAATGACGATCACCAGCGACTCCAAGATGGCAGTTCGCAACTTCGCCAGAGGCAGGGTGTGCGCAGTAATAGAACGCATCCTTGGATACTTCAAACCCGGCTCTGACCGAACCAGGCACCGTCTGGTGTGGGTCCCCGCCCATTCGACTCACGAGGGGAACGAAACGGCACACGCAACGGCAACTCGAGCAACTTTCCTCCGAATATTGGCTGGCACGCTTCCAAGTTCCCTTAGCGGGGTCGACGAAGCGGAGTCCCGCCACCCTTGGATGTCCAAGGACTGCCTGACGGTGTTGTAAGAGATCTGGCAACACTACCGCTTAGGGCGAAGAGTGTATTCACCACGCCACAAAAGTCTCACCAAGTTCCAGGCCCTGAATTGGAGACAGCTACAGACGAATACCCTCCACAGCCCGGCCTTCCTGCGGCATATCTATCCCACCGTCTTCGATTGGACATGCGGCCGCTGCCCGCCACCGGACCCCGGGGACGAGGGGACCAACCCGACCAAGGCCACCGTGCACGCTTGTTTTGGGAATGTCCTTTCGAGTATCCCTCACCTACTCTACGGGACTACGTCTCCCACCTTCAAGAAGAAGATGACACGCTGGATCTTCCTTGGACCGTGCTTCTCCGAAGCTCGGACCCACATATCCAACCGAAGTGGTCGCCCGAGTGCATAAGATCGCGACGAAAACCACGAAGACCCTACAAGAAGCGAACGAGCGTCCGACGTTCGACCCGGCGAGAACATCTGTGCACGTGCATCCCTTCCAGAACTGCGAAAAGCCGCCTCGCATGCATTTTTTCTTTTTTTTTCAAGAACACAATTTTTTCTTTAGGGAGCTGTGGTAGGTGAACGCCTATCCCAGGGCTTCCTGTTGTGGTGTTCTAATAAAGTTGTTTCTCTTTCTCTCTCTCTCTCTCTTAACAAATCATTGTCACTTAATTCTCTTTGCGAATAACTCGTAATCTTTGCAGCTCCCATTTACCTTGAATACCCGTTATCTTTTCTTTTAAATGCTTGTGCAGTTACGTTGTTGTATATTTCGACATGTAATAACGTACCTTCTTCGTACGTACCTGTTCCTTATTCTCACCAAAATGTCCAGCGCTAAAATTTTGATTGGATAGAAAGCCCTATACAGTTCCCTCTTTTCTCTGCTCTGCCGCCTCGCATATCGAAGCCGGTAAGATGAGAGGTCATAGGCCTCTGGGCTGCCGCACATTCCCAGCGCCCAGTTTCGTCTGCGACAGGCATTGGTAGGAAAAAATTAAGGAGAATAATCGAGGGCGTATCGTGATGAACAGCGTGTAGACGATGCTCGCGGAACACGAGCGCCGGCGACGTCAAATGAAGGAGACCTACTCATCGTAGCAGCCATTAGTGACCACCCTTTTCTCGCAGTTCCGGAGCTCAAAAGCACACTAAACTTGAGCTGTTCGAGAAGCACCATCGAATGGCGCCTACACGAGGCAGGACTCTGCAGCAGAATCGCGGCCCAAACGCCATGTTTATACGAGCGACACCGCAAAGTCCACCTCGCATTCGCTCAGACAATTGAAGACAAATGAAGAATGAACCCCAGTGGTCTTCACAAGCACCAGACAAATGAATGGTGTTCACAAACAAGAGACAAATGAAGAATTGACCCAACTGGTGTTCACAGATGAAGTGAGCTTTTGTAGCTTATCAGATACCAGCTGCGTGTCTGGCGGTCGGCCTATTGCAGATAAAGGTTTTAAATGAATTGTCTATTTACTACCTCAATAACACTAAAAACTCATTTCATTATCCCTTTTTTATTGTGATGATTGATCATCATAGTATAAATATTTGCAGATACGATGCCAAGTATGTGCTGCAAGGAGCGGCCAGTGGTAGATGCACCGTAAGCATATTAAGTGCTGTGAAAAGCGCAGGTCTGTGTCCCCTCCACAGACTGGTAGGCAGTTTCGGCTCACTACTGTACACGGACATTACTGGTCAAGTGTTGCTGCCTCTTCTGCTGGACGGATCTTACCCAGACGGCTTGTTTTTGCTGCAACATGACCGTAGTCCTGTGCACCAGGCTGACACTGTGAAGAAGCCCCTGGATCACTCCGGAAACGCTGACTTGAACATATTCAAAAATGTCTAGGGAATCCTCAAGAAGCGTTTGTCTCGGAGTAATCTCGCCGACTCCGCTATGAGGACCCTGGAGTCAGCCATCATCGGCTGCGGACGCACTCGTGCGCAATTTGTAGGAATCACTTCGAAGACAACTTGATTGAAACAAATGGTGCCTACACGCGACACTAACCAATCTAGTAGTAAAATGTAGTCGTGTCTCAATAAGTAAGGAGGTTGATTAAAAAAAAAAAAAAACTTTTGCACGCTCATTGCGGGTCGCAAGTAGTTAGACAATGCCTACGTGGGCATAGTTTTTTTGTTTATACGAAGAAGTGGCGCTTCCCTGTGTATTTTACGCGGCCGCAAGCTGGTGTGGCGTTCACGTAAACAAGGTTCCGCGATTGTCTTGTATGCGCCAAATTCGACATGATGCGACGAAATTGGGTCACCACGAACTTAGTTTGATACGTGTGTCCCCAAATAATGGCAAAACTATACCACAATTTACAAATGCGGCAGATGGGAGGTCTCTAACTACGTTAATATTTCACCTGAAATGAGATATGCTTATTTTGTTTTACACAAAAGATCTGTATCTAAAAAACAAAACATTGAATGAACGAAAATGCTTGGCTGCGAGAAATGGAACCGACACACAGGGACATATCTTCAGGTGCAGGTTCGAGTTATAGTCATCAAGCATTTGCGAATATACTTGTGTTCAACAAAAAACAAAAACAGAATATTTACTAAAAGAGTCTACAACAGTATCTGGAAAACCGATCAAATGACAATATAATAACAAAACATTTCGGCCGTACTCAAGATCCGCCTTCGTAAGGGCGAGAAATCACATTGGGCAAGTTGCTGCGTCAAACCGAGATTGTATCGATTGCTTGCGATTGCTTGATTAAACAATAAGCTTTAATGAAGAATAAATTCGTAATCTCTCCGGCGCTTTGCTTCTGCTAATCTAAACGCATAAATGCACTGAGATATTTTCTGGCATCAGTTATATAGATTACATATATACGGACTTCACGACACGCAATCTTAAAATTGCTGACAAAACGCGCAAAAAAAAAAAAAGATTCTGTCGAAATGAGTTTATGATTCGCAGAGTCAGGCGCCCTTAACGGTGGCCTGGTTCGGGGATGTGGAATGGCCTTTATGTGACCGACTAGTTGAAACGGCTTCCGCCAGGATAGCGCAGCTCCACGAAAGTCGGGTGTTCAAGTGGTGGCGTTAAGTCGCACTGTACATACAGAAAGCCGAATTCCTCCATATTTAAAAAAATTACAGGCTGTGATTAACAATACTTGTATTTCAGCCCTTGTACTCACCAGCAAAGATGAGAAAATAATGAATCTTCAAATAGAGAAGTCTTGTGTTTATCCATGGCCGCAACATGTCTGATCTTAGCTGGACGAAGATATTCCTGCATTTAAAAATCATCTTGATAACACAATCATGTGTCAGATTTGTGTTTATGCACTTGGCTATTACCTTCTCCAGAAATTCAGGCACGGGAGCGCTTGAATAGCATCAAATTGTGTGCGTAATTTAAAATAACACGATATTTTAAAATTATATAAATTACGACATTAAACACGAAAAGGTGACATAACATATAATGGTCAACAATGTTCCCACTGCCCTGACCATGACATAAGAAACAAAATATACCGGATCAATTTATGAGCCACCGTAAAATAATTTGAGTCAGGTATGTATTGAGTAATATTTTCTGACTCTTTATTCACCCTTCTTAATATTAAAGCTAACTACTTTTCATCGCTGAAAATTTCAGGACTTGTTATGACCACTACATTATGTGTTGTCGTTCGTTGACGGTCTTCAAAAGTGCTTCATTTAGTTATGCTTCGGCGATTCAGCCAAACTTTTTTCTTTTTGCTACATATACGTAATTTGTTTATGGAGAGCAGTTCAGAGTGATTGAATTTCTGAAAAATTCTAGCCCTAGGCAGTTTGATGCAGAATGTTTTTACGTTGAAATACTTTTTATTGAATACCATATGTAGTTAAAATTAATAGGGCTGAAGACGCTATTGAAACATACGGAATAGTAAAGTTCAAGAATTAAGTAGGCGTTGCAATTATTACGTTTCCATCCACCTAGGATGTTTTCCATGTAAAGCAACAGATGCAGTGAATGCATGTTTGGAGTGGAAGTGTGTAATTAGATTCTTGCGAAGTGGATATAATGACAATAAAAGCGAGTTTGATCTAAGATACATACGTCACTTGTGCTTTTTGTGTATGTGAATGCCAAACCGTATTTATTTCGTTTGAAGGAAAGTTCGGAAAGAGTTGGTTTTGTGTTAAAAATGTTTAATATATAATTTTAGAGTAGTCCGTCGGAGCTGAGTCTCGTTAAGGAAGATCCCATTGAAGCTCTATTAGAGTTTCTAAATCTGTGGCTTTTTACTTTAGTTTTTATATCTTTGTGGTTTCTAAGGAGAAGCTCAGAGTAAAGATTTGATTTGTGTCACTCAAAATTAACTGAGAAGGATATCCTCTTAGCGTTCAAGAGTTAGCAGATAGTTTCAGGTGATTAAACAAGGGCTAATTTGACGGCGGAGGGGTGGAAGATGACGGGAATTCAGAGACCATACCTAGGTAGCACAGCTTTCTGGGCCAAAATGTTTTGTCTGAGAATTTGGAGCCCTGAAATCTCCAGAAAGCCAAGGTATAGCCAAATTCGATATTATTTGGCCAGATTCTGAGCGCTTCGGCCCTAAACTGTGAAACAGGGGCAGTAGTTAGGTTTCACTGCCTGGTTCTTTGGCTGTCATCTGGCTCGTTTGGGCCAAAATTGACGAACAAGTTCCATAATTATGTTTCACTGCGGGTAGTTTGCCTGATATCTGCCATTTTTAACTAATTTCTGGCACCTTAGCGACAAAGTGGCGGTCAACAGAAAACCATAGAAACGCCTGAGAAGAGTACTTTAACCCTAACTTACGCCTTGGAGTAAAACCTTAGTAGGCCAAAGCTGAGCGCATTTCTAGCTAGCTAGGCATTTCTCTGTCTTGCTGCCTGCGTGCATCCTAACATTATACTAGAGATGATACCTTGTTCACCCCCCCCCCCCCCCCTGATACCTCCCAGCACCTCAAAAATGTGATCGATTATTTGGATGGCTGGGACGTGGTAACGTGCGATAAAGGGATGGCGGGCCATGTCAGAAGACACATATGACAACGTATCTTGAGGGTGTATCAAAATAAGGCATTCACGCGAGGAGCAAGAACTTCTTTTGTTTCTTGCTCCTCGCGTGCAGACATGAAGTGTCTGCACGTGCAGGGTTGCTGGCGTTATTATCAGACACACCTCCTTTCATTTGAAGAGAAACAATAAAAACAAAAAAAAATAACAACTGAAAATTAAAACCAAAAAGAAATAACTTATAAATATATACAGTACGCAGGAATCGCACTTTGAACGCACAGTACTTGCTTTAGATTATTTAGAAATCTGCTGGAAGCCTTGCACATGGGTGAGACGTTGTGGTAGATTTCTCCACCTGCTGGACTGACGAACTGTCGACCCCTGCTCAAGGTCTGGTAAAACTGGAAGGCCCTGTGACGTTGGGGTTTGGGAGGGCTCTTACTGTGCGTGTGGCTGCGTTGCGTCCCTCCGGAATAGAGAGGAATCACTGCCCTTGCTCTCCGAGTTGTTGTCGTTGATGGAGAAGGACCCTTCAGGTGAATTTCGGAGATGTTTTCGGTTACGGCGTAACATGCGGTCGTCCCCAGTCTGTACCGCATAAAACCTTTACGGCTCCGAAATATGGTACTTTTGCTTTTTTCTCCCATCTTCCAGTCCTAAGGATCAGTTAAATGTCTCCCCGCTGAAGTGAAGCTAGGTGTCTTCCTTCGGCCTCATTCTGCTTGTGCTTTCGCACAGAAGACGTCAGAGACACCGTGAAGTCAAGAAGCAATGTTCTGAGTTCTCGCCGCATCAGAACTTGACACAGTATGCCGAAAATTATAACGAGTAGCGATCTCCTTGTATTCAACCGAAGAAAATTGAGGGCCCCCATCCGTGCAAGTTTTTTCGGGTATCCTAACGGGAAAAGACTCGAGGTAACTTTTCGATGATCTCCTTCGTTGTGAGTTATATAATGCACTTCATTTCTAGAAATTTCAGTTTTTGCATGATGATATACCGACTTGACAGCTTTTTGTGTTGCCGCTTTGCGTACTTATATATGCTTTTCTTTTTAGTGCGTAAACATAGTTGAACGTTAAGGCTTGTTCTTCTTACTTAATGTCCCTGTCTTGTTATGCGCTACTTTATATATTTAAATAATTCCTTAAACAATCTGATCTCGTAGCAGAAAGACTTTCAGATCTGCGAAATTACACGCCTTCGCTTTCGGTTGAAAGTCTGTAAACAAATACTGTACAAACGGCTCGCCTGGTGCTTGGCGCCGCGTTCGAGACACGTAGCGCTCGTACGTTTCGCTGCATTTGGCTAGGCAGTACTTTTACAATGACTTGAGAAGCCTATCAGTCATTTCGGTCTTCCGGTGACAAATTAACGTTTTAAACACGTCGATTGCATCCTGGCCTGTGATATGCAGAAATGTAGCGGCGTTCTGTTGCTTACTTCGAGGTTTCGGTGGTTCCGTTGCTCGCTGGTAAAGCTCAACACGCTGCTTGATCCTTCTCCAGGACTCCGCCGCGTTGTTGTCAAGTTGCAACGATTCCTGTGGTGGTTGGTATGTCTTGATGTTGTGTGCTGTAACTAGCCTTTCATCCCACTTCTGAAATAATGTAGGAGAATGAGGCGTTCATAATCGATGCCAGAAATAATAGCTTTTTTTTTTTTTTTCTAGCGCGCGCTCCTTTATGTCTGCTCGTGCAAAGTTGCTGGCACTATTATCTGATACAGAGGGTTGTCAAAAAAGGTTGTGTAAGATTTTTTTTTTTGCCACTGTATGCATAGGCCGACCGGGCCGCCGTATAAATTAAAGACTCAGGTAACAAAATCTGTTAGTGGATTGTCGCTCTTGAGCAATCTGGGAGTGCATTGTAACAGATATGATTATGTCCCAAAGCTTGATATTTTAATTATTTCACTCGGATTAAGAACAAAAAGGCGAGGGATGCTCAAAGACTTTTTTTTTTTAATATGAAAGTGTAATGAAGGCAAATGTGGCAGCGCTCCTTTCATAACCTTTTCAGGGGTATTGCAATAGGGTAAAGAGTGTGGCGAGTTGGTTTTGCATGTTGAAAAATTAAAAACAGCGCGAACAATACTTTAATGTCTCCATCAAGGGGGCATATTTTGAATTGTTTCAAGTGGATCGAAAAGCTTTCGATAATTGTCGTTTCTTAAGTCACATAGCTTTAGATCTCACGGCATATGTGTTTCTTCTCTTACTGAACTTCAGTTAAAGGTGAGCTTTATGACGTTCGTTATTACGTCCCTTGTCTGTTCATTTCTGGTGCTTTTAAAATAGTTTTTGTAGATCGCACGCTGCCCAAAGCGGGTCAATCGGGCGCGTGCTCTATCCTTGCTT